GAGCGAGGAAGGGCGGGGCCAGAGGGAGGTGGGGCTAAGGGCTTTCCAACGCCACCAACGGCTCCCGAGCGCCTCTCGGAAGCACATTGGGAGGCCGTTTCTCCCGCTTAAAGAATTCTGGGCGCTGCTGGGAGTTGTAGTTCTGCGAAGGGTAAACTACAATTCCCAGAATTCTTTGAGGCAAAGAGCGTGCTCCCAATGTGCTTTAAGAATACAGTGTTTATGCAGCGTATTCACACAGTTTCCTTCGCACACACCTCCTTTACTGTCCTAAAAAAATAAAATTATCCCCCTAACTAGACTCTCTCTCTTCTCCTTCTAGCCTGAAAAATCGTATTAAAACCTTTGGGCAGCAGGGACGGAAACTTATAAAAGCATTTTTTTGAAAAGAAAAGTCGTCCTTATTCTCTTCAAGCAACCAGAGCGAAGCAGACTTTTGATGTGAACATCACTGTATATCATCATAGTGCCATGCAGAAAGCGACTGTGAACCTGCCCTGATTTATTGACATTCCTGCCTCCCATGCTTCCTCACCAATCTTAACTTGCATTTGGAAGTTTCTGATCAGAGCCAGAAGTGTGCAGTTCTACAAAGCTCTCTCTCTCTTATATATCTGTGGTGGAAGGAGGAGACCTGTCCTTCCCTGTTTGTTCTCCCAAGCACTGCTGAATGTGTGGTGCCCAATTCCTTTTCAGGACTCCTTTAATAAGATGCAGAAGGGAGGGAGGCTCTGACACTTTTGACCCACCAAACCTCTGCTGTTGAAAAAGCATGTCAGCTTTTTTAGTTATGCAAAGCTACAGAAAGAAAGATTAATCATGGGCAGTCCAATACGATGTAAGCTTTTACTCAGAATAAAATTCTGCTGAATTCAGTGTGGAATGACCAGAGAATTGAGGCCTTAGACTTAACACACCTGCTTAAATTTGTGAAAGTCAAAGGTGTCTAAATAAATGGTGGAAACCTAGCTCCCCTCTATCATCTGAAGTTGGCTGAAAGGACATCTTGCTGTGTTGTTTATTAAGAGATGGATACGAAATACTAAAGGATATTATCTTCCTAAGTGATGCAGCCTTGGCAGCCTTGAGCGAGGTTAACCTTTCCAGATCCTATATTTCCCTGGCAGATACTTTGGGTAGAAACTCCCTTACACAAACTAGAAGTAGATGGCTGTAGCTGTAAGCAACAGGCATCTTTGAGCAGGGACAGCATATGCCGCCTGGCAATCCCAGCAGATAGGAGAGGCTTGTTGCTGTCCATCAGCTGTCATCCTCTTATGACAGGCTGCAATTCCTCAAGTACTTGAGGAAACTGAGTGGCCACGTCTGGCTGGCACCAGGGGAGCTTGAGAACATAAGAATCATAGAATTGTAAAGTTGGAAGAGACCCTGAGGGTCATCTAGTCCAACCCCCTGCAATGCAGGAATATATGGCTGACCCATATGGGGATTAAACCTGCCACCGTAGCAATTTATTTGTTAAGAGGATGAGGAAAAGGGAACAGTTCTTCATAAGGATCAGAATAAATGTGGCTGAAATTGCGTCCTTGAAAGCACCATCCTGGATTTGGAAAACTGATACCAGGAGCCATGGGTGCAAACAGCATATATTGTGGGCCATGATTTATTTGGGGGGTAAGGGCAGAGCTGAGTTATCTGTGGTGCAATTGGTCAGTTAGTTAAGTTTTTTTATTGATTTACTTGATTTTGAGGGTCCCCCCCCCCAACCTCCCTGGCTATGCCCATGCCAGACGCCTGACACATTCTCTTTGATGTGGTGATGCTTTCAAGAAAGCAATCCCCAATATTCATTTTCTTTGGTTTTATGAACTTTCAATCTATATAATGTGTTAAAGAAAGCAATAGTGTTTAGCTATCATTATAATAACTTCTGTTGATAAATTTGATTCATACTTACCTGTTCTGCCTTGCCTAAGGAGAAAATTTAAAGGTCTATCAGCTTTGAAGACAGGATCCTGGGATCGTTTTAGCAACACCATAGCTGTGTGGTAAAAAAACAAGCAGGGAGTGCCCACTTTTATTTTTCTCCCTTTCATTCAATTCCAGAAGTCTCAGAAGAAGCCAAAATTACCATGCTACCATTGAAAAAAATGTCTGCCCTGATCAGTCGTGGTCGGTGCACATATTTGCAGCCCTTACCGTCTAACACAGGGAATATTCATAAGTTCGATTCCCTACTAGCTGGGCCCTTGCACCTATGCAGATGCACTGGCTCTCGCTGGTCTGGAAAGCTCTACCTTAGAACATTGGGTCATGATATTGAAGTGGTGTGTTTAACATTTAATGTTTTCTTATGTTTTTGTATATTTTGGAAACTGCCCAGAGTGGCTGAGACAACCCAGTAATAATAATAATAATAATAATAATAATAATAATAATAATAATGGAATAAGACATTTCTATCTGCATGGGAGAAATGTTGGCGGGTAAGGGACAGGCATAGGAGATAGCTAGTGCTCAGAAGGTGCAGGAACAACTTAAGCTGGAATCCAAAGGAATAGGCACATTTGCATATTTATAAAAAGTGGAACATGGAAGAAAACCATATGAGAAAACTTAAGTCGCATCCCTTAAGAGGTGCAGGGCTTGTGGCTGCTGGTTTTCTGAGGGCCCAGGGGTGCTGCATCGCAAGGTTCATTGTGACACCTCCCTCTGCTGGCTCATTGGTCATGTGATAGGAATTTTATGGTCTTAGATATATGGTAATGTTCATAACTGCACATACATAGATCAACACAGGAAGACCAACCTGGAACCATTTTGATTCCTAAACTGACCAAATCCTTTCTCTGCAAGGTTAAACTGGAAAAGCCTCCCCATTGTCTCTTTCCTCACAAATCCTGTCTCAAGGATATGTCTGTTTGAATAAGGTGTGAGCCTGTGACCTGGCCCAGGAAATAAGTATTTTACCACTACAAAAGAATGGCCAGGCTCCCCAGGCAATCCAATCAAGTAACTTGCCAGACAGGAGATAAACTGTGACAGGAGAAAAACAACATTTAAATTTCTGTGATGTAGGTGGGATGTATCTGAGGGGTGGTCTTAGGTTACACCCCTTCTGTGATGTATGCATAATGTTTCTGGGGGTGGTCTTGATCTAGAGAATGGGAATTTCAAAAGTCTTTATAAGCCCTTGCACGGCATTTTGGGGGGTCCTCTTCCTCTCCTGCGTGTGAGGGAGTACCCTGTTGCAACAGATCAATAAAGATCAGGCTTACTAGCTGCTTTGCTTCTCAATATTCTCTGGTTGGCCTCTGTTATTCTCTCCTACCAATAGGGAACCTATGTAAGGACTCTATATGGCCTCTTGGATACCCCATAAGGGAAAAGGGCATATTTTCATTTACAACAGTCACCAGAACTCTAGAAGGCCTGGGATCTCCTATGCTTGGATCATTCCATGCTTGTGAGAGAAGCAGGAAAGCATGTAAGTAGGATTTCTTTCAGCATATCCTCTTAATTGAGGGTCCGCGTTGCGCACAGGCCATAGGTGCAGCCCCCCCTTCCTTGAGAGGGGTGGGGGAGGAGCTGAGCCGAGCTATGGTCCCACGATCACACCATGGCCTGCTGGCCAAGCGGGAGTGGTGGTGTGATCGAGGGGGGCCTTTAAAAGGCAGCTGTGTGGCATTGGGGGGGGGGTTACCTGGGTTTGCACTGCCAAACACCCGCCCTAGATTTAGGTGTGTGCTTTGGCCTTGCTCTGGACTTCGGTTGGTCGCCGGTTTTGGAACGGGGGCCGCGTAGGAATATTTCCATTTGGCAAATTGGCACTGGCCTCTTGGTTTTCGCCTACCTCTTAGCAATCGTCACAACTTTGTAAGGTTTGGCAGTTAGGCATTGGCTTAGTGAAATGTGGGGGAGGGGAGGTGCGACCATCACCTGCCCCTCCAGGTACAAGGGTATTCCAGTAAAGGAATCTGCAGGTCCGGATCTCGTCCAAAGTCTGCTTGGGAGGCTAGGGCCATGCCAGGACCCAACGGGAACCCCGGGGTGAGTTTCAGTTGGTCACCATTGATGGAGCTCCCTCTGTTGGTGGTTTACTTTTCCAGACTTCCTGCAAGGCGGGCAGGAGTCAGATATAGTTATTAAGGTAAAGGTAACCATTAGGTCCAGTCGTGACCGACTCTGGGATTGCGGCGCTCATCTCACTTTATTGGCCGAGGGAGCCGGCGTACAGCTTCCGGGTCATGTGGCCAGCATGACTAAGCCGCTTCTGGCGAACCACAGCAGTGCACGGAAACGCCATTTACCTTCCGCTGGAGCGGTACCTATTTATCTACTAGCACTTTGTGCTTTCGAACTGCTAGGTTGGCAGGAGCTAGGACCGAGCAATGGGAGTTCACCCCACCGTGGGGATTCGAACTGCCGACCTTCTGATCGGCAAGTCCTAGGCTCTGTGGTTTAACCCACAGCGCCACCTGCGCCCCTGATATAGTTATTGCCAATGCCTAATTTCAGGGGCCTAATCCGGTTTAATCTGGCCCCTGTGTCAGTTTATTTCCTGGCGTAAAATCCTTTAAAAAAACGTCAACAACTTAAACCCTAAAAAAAGCTCAACAACGTCTTTGGTCGGCCCTTTGGACGGCCCTTCACTTCATCAAATCTGGACCTCTTTGAAAAAAGTTTGGACACCACTGGCCTAAGCCAATACCACTCACATTGCTGTAATCAATAAAGTTGTGGCCTAAATTCTGCCCATTAACCTTTAAACTAAAATTCTGTCTCAATATGTTCTTATTATTCTTGGGGGGTGCGCCAGGGCCTTGATGCGCAACTGAATTCTGTGATGATAGTGAGCTTAGAGGCGTGAATGCAAAAACCAGTTTAGGAACGTAGATCAGGAGAGGGTGAACTGTGAGCCCCATTTCTCACATTTTTCTCTTTCCTTTTTAGGCTTGGAAGACTGCGAAGAGCGATTTCGCAGATGGCGAAAAAAAATAAAGTGTGCCCTCTCCCCGAGTCCTCCCCCCTGCCCCCCCGCTCCCCCTGTGGACCCCTGTTTGAAAAGACTAGGAAGGTAAAACGTTTTTACCTTATAGTAGTTGATTCCAGTCCCTAAGATTTCTTAGGAAAGGTCTTTGTCTGAGGCCTATTTTGAGCTTTAGATCATTATATCCCATGTGGCTCTTGGTTTCCCTGTAGGCTCCGCACACTTCCTCGCCTCCACAGGTGAAAGAGAGACAAAGTCAACATGAAGGTAATGTCTATTTCTATGTATGTGTTCAGAAAGTCTCTCTCTCTCTCTCTCTCTCTCTCTCTCTCTCTCTCTCTGTGTGTGTGTGTGTGTGTGTGTGTGTAAGAAAGCCTCTCTAACTGCCAGCCTTCTCTTCTTTTCCTTTCAGAAGAGCTCATCATCGAAGATATTGAAGACCTGGAGGAAGAACAGTAAGAGACTGTGCTGCATTGGAGCAGCTTTATCAATCGTTAACAGTTCTTGGCTGTTGTAAAGTTTTGCTTTTGTGTCTGTTACCGGAAAAATCCGAGGGCTCTCTTGGACAAAAACAAAGACACCAACCAGGATAACTTGGAGCAAAACAGCAGCCTGTAGGCTTGGCCTTTATTGAACTGTTGCAACAGGGTATTCCCCTCACTCGCAGGAGAGAGGAAAGACCCAGAACAATGGCCTGCAAGACCTTATAAAAACTTTTGAAATTCCCCTCCTCCAGGTCAAGCCCACCCCCAGAAACATCATGCAATACATTACAGAAGGGGTTGACATCATGCATACATTACAGAAAGGAGGGGTTGAGGGAGGAGTTGTGGTGGTAACCTGAGTATCTTGTCACCTAGCTGGTTCCTCCTTTCCCCCTCCCCATGAGTACTTTCCAGGTGACAAAGGGGAGTTTGCAGTTTTCTGCCCCCAGAGGGAAGATCTGATCATTGTCCTTTGTTTCAGTCTGTGGTGAATCCACTACCATATGCAAGTTCTTTGTCATTTTGATTGTCTTCTGTCTGGGATTATCAAGGCTGACATAGCAACTGGGCAGGGCTCCTGTGGATGTGCTGGGATGGTGAAGGGATTATGGCTGACCAGAAACCAAGCCACCCCCCTTTGATAGTCCTTGTCACATGGAGTAAAAAATGGAACAGTGCAAATCCGATATATGGTTGATTTTCTATGAATTTATAACAGAAATGTGGCGTATGTAGTGTGTGTGAGTGTGAGTGTGTGTGAAGTTTGTGCAAACAGAATGATTGGGGTGGGGGGTTTCCTGCTACATGTCTTTCCTTGAAGGTGAAAGCTTGCGGAGATGAAGATGTAGCTCAGCGTTGTCTCACTGCCCTCTCAGCAGCCGCCGCCCCAGGCCAAGGCAATTTGCTGGGCCTAGCAGTGGAAGCAGCACGTGCAAGGTATTGGCGGAAATACTGTGCATTTAACCAAAGGGTGGTTCAGAGCATCTCTCCAGGGCTCTGCACTAACTCCCTGTGGTCTTGCTCTGGCAGCGCATAAGTAATGGGTTGGTCCATGTGGGTGACTAGAGAGATGTTTTGGATGGTGGAAAGGCCCAGATTTAAAAGGCATTCAGCTGTGAACCTCACTATGGGAAGTCAGTCTCTCAGCCTGATTTCCTTCACTGAGGGGCAAAGGGGTGGGCATTATGAGGCTAAATCATCACTGAGTTCTTTGCAGGAAAACCGGGAGAAAAAGACAACAATTTTTTAAATAAAACCTGAATAAATATCTAAGGGAGGAGCCAGAAGCAGCCACAACACATATTTTGCTCCTTTATATTCTCAGATGGGGCGCTGCTGAGAGTGCTGCATGAGCCAGAGTTGTGCTTAGTTTGTACTAGAAATTGGCTTTTAGTAGTGTAGCTCCAGCCCTCTGGAATCCATTCCCAGCTGGAATTAGACAAGTGCCTGGCATCATAATGTTTAGGTGTCTTCTTGAAGATGTTTTATTTAGGAAAGCTCTCCCTAATGTGTGACCCAGTACTGTAATTCATCTGTAGGAATGGTTTCATTTATTTTTTGAATATATTATTTTTGTATTTTATATTTTTGTACACAGCTTTCAGGGCCTCGGGCTTTTAAGCAATTTATAAATTTGTAAAATCAATTATGTGCACCTATGGTTTCAATTTCCTGTTCGCACCAAAGTTAACAACCAGAATATGTTGTACTGGGATGATTTTACAGATTCCCGAGTTGGAGGATGCTGTTGGTAGGTGGCTATGTTCCTCTCTGTACTCTACTTTCTGGGCACCCATATTGTCTAACCTCAATGCCAGTAGCAGCCTTCGGCGGCCTAGTGTTTTGTTGTCGCTCTTCTCTATGAAAAAAGAAGCGTGGGTCTGCATGCAGTGTTAGGTTTTATGCATTCTTCTTTCCCATATTGTTTGACACTTCCTTTGCTTTCTCTTCCTAGACACCCCGTGAAGTGGCCCAGCAGGCCGTAGATGCGGATGTGCATTGTGTGGCTTGGCTGCTGGCCACAAAACGCTTGTTCCTGAACTCCTCAAAGAGCTGCATGCCCTTGGCCACCCAGACATTCTCGTCATGTGTGGAGGCGCCATCCCTCCCCAGGTACTGTGCACCACCTATTGCTAATCCAAAGATAGCTTGTTGTGAGATGATTAAATTGTTCCCAGTGAGGTGGGGTCTCCATCTACTTCCTCCTCCTCCTCCTCCAGGCAAATGAACACCACTGAAAGGCTTTTAAAGTAACATCTAGCTATTGAAATGTGGAAATCCTTCAGCAAATTTTGGAAAGCGTTGTAGTTTATAGGTTTAGGGTTCACAGAACAACGCAGTTGAAAAGCAGCCTCCCCAATTGTTTCTAAAACTGCCAATATAATCAAATAATTTAAAAATCACTTTTTAAATTTAAAAATATTCATAAACATTTTAAGAAATGAAGAAAAAAGGGACCAGTTTCCTTTACTGACATAGAAAATATATAAGATTTCTTTTTTTTCCAGAATTTGCTTTTCTGTTTTGAATCTCTTGACTTTGGTATTATTGTTGCACCTGGCAAAAGATTCGTATAGAGCCACAAGTCTCTGGTTGTCTTGAAGCAGAGGTGAAAATGTTCACCACTTTTGATGATTTCATTCTTTATGTTAGATAGGATAACACCTAGAGCAGAGATTGCTTGACCCTGTAGTCACTAGGACTTTGCACACATGGCGAGGTTTGCGTAGGTGAGAGCATCACTGTTTTCCCCCCATAGCTAGCATACTAAGTTATTTTCCCTTCTCCATGTGCGCTACCTCCTGACCTGCTATCGCAAAACTCTGCTCTTTTAGCATGTGTTCTGCAGAATTTTACTTTACAAAGTTTACATGCATGTTTTATGTGTTTCTCCTGCACAGGATTATGACTTCCTGTATGACTCAATAGCCTCTGTAGAGTCTGAAGTTGGTGGCCTTATGGGAGATATGGGCAGTTTCCAGTTCTGTGACCTCACGAATCCTTTACTGAGATGACATGCACAAGACGGGTAGAGCAACTCTTTTATGAAAAGTCCATTTTTTTGTAAGGTTCTTGCTCAACAGCCTTAATAGAAGTATTGAAGGGGGAGGTGTTAAAAGGCCATTAAGCAAAGGTCTTTTCTTATTCTTCAAGACGCCTGTGCCTCTTGAGACTCCCATCAGTGACACCTGAGCTCAGCATCACATACAGTCCAACAAAAGCACAAAAACAAATACCAAGTTCACTAACATTACAATCTCTTTTAACTGCATAAATACCTCCTCTGCCAGCTATTAATATAGCAAATTCTAATTTAGTCCATGTGCTCAAAATTCCTTGAGATTCCTCATTTCTTGCTGGCAGGTCTTTTTTTTAAAGAACAGAGACCTCGGAATTATCCTGCAAGCAGTTTATTATAAACTTCCTAGGAATTACTGCCCTTGCAGTGTATCCCTGGGAGATTTCATGATCTGGACTTCGGAGCAAGGTTTTCAAATAAGACTTCTGCAGCTGCAGCTGATGGATTTGGAACTTCTCCACTGTCTGTCTTTCTGAATGAAGAAAGGTGTGCATTATCCCTTCCTGACCAAATCACTGACACATGGCTATTGGTGGCATGTTTGGTGCTAAAGTCAACTTTCTGACTACAGCAGCACTGGAGGCGCTTAATTTCACGCCGGAAAGTTTTGCTGAAATTATAGTACAGTGGTACCTCGGGTTACATACGCTTCAGGTTACAGACTCCTCTAACCCAGAAATAGTACCTCGGGTTAAGAACTTTGCTTCAGGATGAGAACAGAAATCGTGCTCTGGCAGCAGCGGAAGGCCCCATTAGCTAAAGTGGTGCTTCAGGTTAAGAACAGTTTCAGATTAAGAACGGACCTCAGAAACGAATTAAGTAACCAGAGGTACCACTGTAAATGAAAAGGGTTGTAGGCCGGAGCCTGATTTCTGTTCTTATCCTGAAGCACTATTTCTGGCTTAGTGGAGTGTGTAACCTGAAGGGTCTGTAACCTGAAGTGTCTGTAACCCGAGGTACCACTGTACAGTGTTCATGCAGCCTATTCACACGGTTCCCTTTTCACACACCTCCCTTACCGTCCTAAAAAATTAAAATTATCCCCACCTAGACTGTCTCTTTTCTCCTTCTGTCCTCAAAAATCATATTAAAACCCTTGGGCAGCAGGGAGGGAAACATAGAAAATCATTTTTAAAAAAAGAAAAGTCGCCCCCTTTCTATTCGAACAACCAGAGCGGAAGCAGGATCTTGCACTGAACGGCCCTCGGTATATCATCATAGTCAAAAGTGCAGGTAGAGCAGTGCAGAAAGCGTCTGTCAACCTGCCCTGATTTAGGGACATATCCCCGCCATGTTTCCTCCCACTTCTTAACCCTGCATGTGGAAGTTTCTGATCAAAACCGGAATTGTGCAGTTGTACAGAGCTCTCTTTCTCTTATATATCTCTATGGTAGAAGGAAGAGACCTGCCCTTCCCTCTTTCTTCTCCCAAGCGCTGCTGAAGGTGTGGTGCCCTCAGAGGCACAATTCATTTTCAGGGCTCCTATAAGAAGATGCAGAAGGTGGATCTGACACTTTTGACCCACCAAACTTCTGCCGTGGAAAAAGCACATCAGCTTTTTGAGTTATGAAAGGCTATTGAGAATTGAGCTCTTAGACTTAACACACCTGCTTAAATTTGTTAAAGTCAAAGGTGTCTAAATAAATGGTTGAAGCTTAGCTCCCCTCTATCACCTGAAGTTGGCTGAAAGGACACCCTGTTGTGTTGTTTATTAAGAGATGGATACGAAATACTAAAGAGTATTATATTCCCAAGTGATGCAGACTTGGCCGCTCTGAGCGAGGTTCACCTTTCCAGACCCTTTATTTCCCTGGCAGATACTTGGGGTAGAAACTCCCTTACGCAAACTAGAATTAGATGGCTGTAGCTGTAAGGGACGCGGGTGACGCTGTGGGTTAAACCACAGAGCCAAGGACTTGCTGATCAGAAGGTCGGTGGTTCGAATCCCCGCAACAGGGTGAGTTCCCGTTGCTCAGTCCCTGCTCCTGCCAACATAGCAGTTTGAAAACACGTGAAAGTGCAAGTAGACAAATAGGTACCGCTCTGGCGGGAAGGTAAATGGTGTTTCCGTGCGCTACTCTGGTTCGCCAGAAGCGGCTTAGTCATGCTGGCCACATGACCCGGAAGCTGTACGCCGGCTCCCTCGGCCAATAAAGCAAGATGAGCGCCGCAACCCCAGAGTCGGCCACGACTGGACCTAATGGCCAGGGGTCCCTTTACCTGTAAGCAACAGGCATCTTTGAGCAGGGACAGCATATGCTGCCTGGCAATCCCAGCAGATAGGAGAGGCTTGTTGCTGACCATCAGCTGTCATCCTCTTATGACAGGCTGCAATTCCTCAAGTACCTGAGAAAACTGAGTGGCCACGTCTGGCTGGCACCGGGGTAGCTTGAGAACATAAGAATCATAGAATCGTAAAGTTGGAAGAGACCCTGAGGATCATCTAGTCCAACCCCCTGCAATGCAGGAATATATGGCTGACCCATCTGGGTATCAAAGCTGCCACCTTGATGTTATCAGCACCGTGCTCTAACCAACTGGGCTAAGCTGTTGAAGAGCTTCACCAAATGCCTGAGGGAAACCGACAAGAGGATTTGAACGCAGGAGCCCTAAGGCATTTTCCAGAAGTCTATAACTGCTGTAACAGAAGAGAACCACCACAGAAATGGCAAAAAGCATCTCTCTTTATTTACAGCCATAAGTTTCACATAACTTCCCCTTGATAGTCACAACACTTAAAATGGCCTATTAATGCTTTTTTATTTTATGGGAATGCAGATATATGGAAGCATGGGTAGGACAAGTTCACTCAATAGGATTTGTAAGTCTTCCTATAAATAGAATTGAACCTGTAAAAAAAGAAAAGAAATTATTATTAGTTTCTTCAACTTCATTTTATAAATGCTCATACTGATGCAACTTAAATTTAATTATTTTTATAGAACAGGGTGGGGAGGGGATGTGGAGGTGATTAATGAAAGTCAGTCACTTTTGGAAACTGGGAATGGGAAAGATGTTCATTAGCAACCTTCACTTCTAGCCAAAAATTTATATAAATTTATATTTATATAACTGGGTTAACAGAAGGAAGAACAGCTAATCAAGGAACCGTCCTGAGATCTACGGATTAAGGGTATAAAAATTTAATTAACAAACAACAATAAAAGGAAGAAAATGGTTTTGAATAGGGCATTCTCTTAACCTGCTGTGAAAAGGGAAATACAATCAATTTATTTGGGAAGGCTCAGAATAAATGTGGCTGAAATTGCATCCTTGAAAGCATCATCCTGGATTTGGAAAACTGACACCAGGAGCCATGGGTGTAAACAGGATTTATAGTGGGGCAGGCTTTATTTTGGTGGGTAAGAGCCGAGTTATCTGTGACACAATTGGTCAGTTAATTAAGTATTTTGGTTGATTTACTTGATTTAGGGAGCAGCTACCTCCCCTCCTCCCTGGCTACACCCATGTCATGAGACCAACACACAGTCTTTGGTGTGGTGATGCTTTCAAGAAAGCAATCCCCAATGTTCATTTTCTTTGGTTTTGTGAACTTTTATGGACTTCCAAGCTATATAGTGTGTTAAAGAAGGCAATAGCATTTTGCTATCATCATCATAACTTCTACGGATAAATTTAATTGGTATTTACCTGTTCTGCCTTGCCTAAGGAGAAAATTAAAAGGTCTATCAGCTTTGAAGACAGGAGCCCGGGATCGTTTTAGCAACACCATAGCTGTGTGGTTAAAAAAAACAACATCAAGTAGGGAGTGCCAGAAGTTTCACAAGAAGTCAAAGTTACCACGCTAGCATTGAAATAAATGTCTGTCCTGATAAGTCGTGGTTGGTGCCACCACCCCTGACATGTTCAGGTGAACTGCAGGAACGTGGGTGTCATGGCCGATGAACGCCAAGCCACTTCCTGGGCTGGTTCCCATATTTTCAGCCCATATTGTCAAACTCTGGGAATATTCACAAGTTGGATACTGTCAGAGCTGCTTCCAGATCCTAGCTCACAGAGGATCACGCTAGCCAGCGATCATTAAATACAAGTCTTTATTGAGTTACAGTTTCCATTCCCAAGCTGCTGCGTGCAACTCTACGTCTTATGGCTAGACCGGCGAAGCTCCGTCTGAGTCTCCGCCCCTTGTACACCAACTTAATATCCTAGCCCTGCTCCACCTTTTCCGCCTGACTGTTCTTCTCTGGGTCCCTCTGCCCCCCGGGGTCTCTTCCTTCCGGGATTCTTCTGACGCCGACCCCCCGGACCCTCCTGTCTCCTTGCGCCGGGCTTTAGGACCTGGCTCCCTTTCCGGGCTGCCTACTGCGCCACCTTCCTGTGCATTTGAACTTGGCGTGCGCGCCCAACCTTCCACTTTCCGTCTGACCGTTTCTTCGCTCCCGATGGAGGTGTGGCCACTCCTGACTCGTGCCCTCCCCCCTGTTGTGAGCTGCCAGCGCTTGCTCCCTGGCGCCCTTCCTCTTCCTGCTCTCTGGCGGTGACGCTGGTCCCGATTTCCAACTGCTCCCCTCTGAGTCCCCTCTAGCTCTATCTTCCTGGGGTGTCCCCCTAGGCTCCCCCCTTGCCCTGGCCACTGGTGCTCCTTTCTGTGAATCTTCTGATCACTGGAAAGACTTGGAGATCTCGGGTCGTCGTCATCACTCATCTTTTCTTCTGCCTCCTCCCCCTCCGCTCTCTGTTTCCTCCCTTGCCCTTGCCTCTGCTCCTGAACCCCTGACAGATACGCTACTGGCTGGCCCTTGCACTTATGTAGATCCATTGGCCCTTGCCTGTTCTTTCCAAGGTAAGTTGGCAACGGAGGTATGCTTTATTTTATTTATTTTTAAATTAAATTTATGCTTATACATCATACAAACAAACACTGAATAAACAAATAATACAAAAACAGAAGAAAATACAAAAACAAAATTATAAGGATATAAACATAATAACAAACTAGAATTGGAAAAAAGAAAATAAAAAAGAATAAAGTGACTCCAACTAACTCCATGTGGATCTTTATTCCTCATATCACTGGTTGTCTGTAATGATTAAATTTAATCATTACGGAGCTGTGCTTTCTGATGTAATCAATTTCATCCTCTGAAGGGAGGAAGGCTTGAGAATAACCTTCTCCCTTGTGAAATGGACTACACCAAAAATGGATTGCCAATATCAGCTTAGGTAACAGAGTGGCTTTTTCCCCCCTTATCCTCATATACAAGCTTTTGCATAGGTTTTTAAGAAACGGGCAGCAGGCCGAAGGACATGCATGTTTATTATCAAGCTGGGCACTTTTGTGCAGTTGCCCTAAGCCCATCCCACCTTTGCACTATTCTGCTTGACAAATAACTCTTTGGCAATGAACTCATGCTGACAGTTTTCCAACATTACAATTGACAATAAGAAAATCTTATAATCCATGCATATGTTCGGTAGTCGTATGGGAACCTGATCGTGCAATTTCTTGGATCGAGGATGTTAAGCTTGGTCAATTTCTTCAATTGACTTGGCAATTATTCATGACTACACCATGTTCTTTTGATTTAGAGCAGTGTAGAGCTTTATTCAGCTATTTACCAGCGAGAGGACCCAAGTGCATCTGTTAGTATATTCGTGCAAGGGACTCCGCCCACGCAGTAGGGAGAATCCTCCGACTGACTTGCATAAGAATAATTCATCTCCCTGTGTTTAGACTCAACGGTAATAGAGAATCTTTTTAGGGCAAATATGCTGGCATTTCAATCCTGATACTCTCATGACTGATTCAAAAGTTGCATGGTCTCAATTGTCTATTTCTAGGTTTCTCAGGAGATCGCGCTCAGCAATGGTATAGATTCTTGGCTTCGTTGCTGACCGACTGACTCAATCAAAGTTGTTTGTAACAAGTCGTGTCCTGTTTTTTCTCTTTTTCTTTTTCCTTAGCTTCCTTAGCTTTGGCTGCTCTTGTCTTTCCCGTGCCACTCATCAGTCAATGTTCAAGGTCAAATACTGTAGTCCCATGGGAAAGGCAAGTCCAGTTTAAAAGCAATCCAGTGAGAGAAGGTAAACAAATAAAGCTGTTCCCAGGCCTTTGTAATTTCAATATCCTCTAGGGGAGTGCCACCAAAATTCAGTAAAGAAGAAGGAGGATTTTCCGGCCATTTAAAATCCCTATTGTTCCAATTTTAAAAGCACATAGTCCCAAAGCACTAAATAAAAGAGTCCTGCAGAGCACTTTCAAACTTTAACAAAGTTCCAACTAGGTGCCTGCAACAATATCCAGTCCCACTAGTTAAGCTCAAAAGTGTCACTTTAGTATCCGATAGTATCTGGAAGTTTTTACAACCATTCCGCAGTTAAGCAGCTTCCCCCCGGCAGTCCGACGATTTGGAGTTAAAATCTCAGTGGCTCCTAAACGAGGAGGACCGCTCCAGTTTAATTTTGAAAGTTTACTTACTGATAATTCTGCATTTCTTCTTTAAAAGTAAGTTCAAAAGTGCACGAAAGTCTCACTTTAGCACTTCCCTATTCACAACGCTTTCCGCTCCTCATGTCCTTCGCTTTGATCTTATAAGCAGCGCCGGAAGACGGACTTCCTTTTTCTCGTCTCCCGGTTTCAGCCAAATTTTAAAAAATTTATTCCGCCAAATTTCAAGTCCTTACTCACGGGTTCGTAGTTTCCACCAGATGTATTCAGGAAGAAAGGTCAGCGCTCATCCGTGACAGCCTCGCGGCTTCGCCTCCGCAGAAAGAGCGATGAACTCACAGCACCGCTCCCCCTCCTTCACTCCGGAGCCCCTTACGGGGTTCCTTCCGCGAATTCGGGGTCGCTCCAGGTGCCCGCCGAGTCCCACGGCCACGGGCTCACTCTACCCGTGGTTTAACTTAATGGGTTGCCGCTGCGCCGTAGCGAACCAACCCTTTTCTGCGGTGCCCCTCTTCACAGCTCGAAGAGGACCGCCATCACGGTTTCGCGCCGCCTCCGGAAGTCCGTTACATAATTTTTGTCTAGAAGTGAAGGCTGCTAATGAACATCTTTCCCATTTCCACTTTCCATATGTGACTGACTTTCATTAATCATCTCTACATCCCCTCCCCACCCTGTTCTATAAAAATAATTAAATTTAAGTTCAATCAGTATGACCATTTATAAAATGAAGTTGAAGAAACCAGTAATAAATTCTTTTCTTTTTTTTTACAGGTTCAACTCTGTTTATAGGAAGACTTACAAATCCTACAGAATAAACTTGTCCTATCCACGTTTCCATATATCTGCATTCCCATAAAATTAAAAAGCATTAATAGGACGTTTTAAGTCTTGTGACTATGAAGAGGAAGTTATGTGAAACTTATGGTTGTAAATAAAGAGAGATGCTGATTGCCATTTCTGTGGTGGTTCTCTTCTGTTATAGCAGTTATAGACTTCTGGAAAATGCCTTAGGGCTCTTGCATTCGAATCCTACTTGTGGGTTTCCCACAGGCATTTCGATGGCTGCCTTTGTTATTGGGAATGACAAAACTCCTCCTTCCACCTTAGAGATGTATGAGAGAGAGAGAGAGAGAGCGCGCGCTATATAAGTGCACACTTCCGGTTCTGATCAGAAACTTCCAAATGCAAGTTAAGAATGGTGAGGAAACATGGGAGAAATGTCAATAAATCAGGGGAGGTTTACAATCTCTTATGGGTAGGCAAACTAAGGCCCGGGGCCCGGATCCGGCCCAATCGCCTTCTAAATCCGGCCCATGGACGGTCAGGGAATCAGCGTGTTTTTACATGAGTAGAATGTGTGCTTTTATTTAAAATGCATCTCTGGGTTATTTGTGGGACATAGGAATTTGTTCATTTTTTCTCTCTCTTCAAAATATATAGTCCGGCCCCCCACAAGGTCTGAGGGACAGTGGACCGGCCCCCTGCTGAAAAGGTTTGCTGACCCCTGGTCTTTCTGCCTTGCTCTACATTGCACTGTGGTGATCTACAGAGTGGTGTTCACTGCAAGAGCCTGCTTCCGCTCTGGTTGCTTGAATGGAATTGTGAAGATTCTTATTTTCAAAAAATGATTTTACATGCTCCCTTCCTGCATTGCAGGGGGTTGGACTAGATGACCCCTGGGGTCCCTTCCAATTCTACAGTTCTATGATTCATTGCTGCATCTTCTCGTGTTGCACCTCCACTTATTGTGAGATATTTCACTGGAGTTACCGTATTTTTCGCCCTATAGGACGCACCGTCCCATAAGGCGCACCTAGTTTTTTTGGGGGGAAATAAAAGGGGGGGAAATTATTTTTCCCCCCAGGCGCGGGGCTGGGGCGGTGGAAGCTTGAGCTTCCCCTGACCCCAGCCCCCAAGCAGGCAGCTCTCTGCAAGCTGTGGGAGCGCTCCCGCTGCTTGCTGAGAGGTGCGCGAAGCCTGGACGCGCTGAGCTGAGCGCGCGCAGGCTTCAGCATGCAGGCAAGTCTCCGCAAGCAGCGGGTGCGCACCGACCCCTCTCGCTCTCTAGGCTTCAGCGAAAGCCTGCATTCACCCCATAGGACGCACACACATTTCCCCTTCATTTTTGGAGGGGGAAAAGTGCGTCCTATAGGGCGAAAAATACGGTATCCCAGGAATGCTCTCCCAAAGATGATTTCCAATGATGAAGATTTCCTTCCTAACTATCCAGGAAAAGTAACCAAGTTCAGCACGAAAACATAACGACGTGAGTTAGATTGGTCCTGGTTGTTAGATGCTATCCTGCAATGGCTTACCTCTCTATTTTAGGGAATCCACTTTTGGGTTCATTTGTGAAGCAGATGAAAGAAGAAGGGCAGCTTCCCAAAATAAAGGGGAAGAATAAAAAAGGGAAGAGGCAGGGAGACAGGAGTTGGAAACTATAGCTGATCAGACAGTGGAACAAATCTGAAGGAGAAAAAGCTCAGCTCACAGCTGACTTAATCCTGCAGGGAGGCAGTTCTGTGCATCTCCTGCTAAAGGCTTTAATTCAGACTGAAAGTGGCTCTTGGGATTTCACTTCACTGC